AAACCTGCATTATCACCTATGATTTCAAACCTGAAGCTTATTGCTGAAGGTGAGGAGTTGAAAGATCCGACAGTTTATCAAAGATTGGTAGATAGACTTATCTACTTAGCCAATACTAGGCCGGACATTTCATTCGCAATCAGCCGAGTTAGTCAATTCATGCATAGGCCATGTCAGCCTCATCTTGATGCAGTTTATCATATTCTTCGGTACCTCAAGTCTTGTCCTGGACTTGGGTTGTTTTATGCATCAGGATCTCAGACCGGTTCTCTAGCCTGTTATTCAGATTCAGATTATGGGGGAGCATGTGATGGTCGATCTACTACGGGTTTCTGTGCTTTTCGAGGGACTCATCTTATCTCTTGGAAGAGTAAGAAACAGGCAGTTGTCTCCCGCTCGTCCGCAGAGGTAGAGTATCGGACATTGGCACTTGGCACATGTGAGATTATCTGGCTACGATCGATTCTTGATGAGTTGGGTTTTTCAGTGACCTCTCCATCCACATTATATTGTGATAATCAATCTGCTATTCAGCTCGCTTCTGACTCTGTACTACATGAGAGAATGAAGCATATAGAGATCGATGTTCACTTTCTTCGGGAGAAGGTCAGCAGTGGTCTTGTTACTCCATCGTTTGTGGGGACCAGTGATCAAGTTGCGGATGTTTTTACCAAACCTGTCTCTCTGTCTATTCTTCGGGACTCCGTTGTCAAGCTTGGCTTAGTTGACATTTTTGCGCCTAGCTTGAGGGGGAGTGTTGGAGTATAGATTGTCTAGGTTTATTAGGATTTCTTTTCTCTTTTTACCCTTACTAAGATTTTTATATTTTGCCTAAACTACAAGGATGTTTAAGTCACTCTGTATTATTTTTAGATATATATACGGGGATCTACTCTTAATTTGAGTATCCCTTTTTCACACACATTCATTCCAAGTTTAAATAATATCATAAATGAAGGAACCACTTATTCCCAGAGTGGAGATGCCAACTCAACTTTTGAAATGCTAAATTCATTTGTATTTTTCTTTATTTTGCATCTTATGAAAGAGCCGCTTTGTCAAACTGATGTTCTAAATGCAATGCATCTTGTCGCAAGTATGAAGGTCTCGATCCAAAAACTGAGAGACAAGGTCTTGTTGCAAGTATGAAATATAACTTTGGATATGCTTTTGGTACGATTGTGTGGGTTTGGAAATGGGTACATCTTTACTTATCCTATTTCGACAACAGATATCAAAATGAGCTTCTTTTTTTTTTTGTTGGAAATGTTAGAAAGTTTTCGTATCATTCGACCAGTGTTATGGGTCCATGTGAAACATATCATTTTTATTATAATTTGTCCAGAAAAATAGAGCAATTTACAAAAACTACTCCCAAGGTCTGAACATATTGTACTCCTTTGATATTTTGAAATTTAGTCAACCCAATATCAAAGTTAATGTAAATAATGAAACGACACCGTCATTATGGTGATGTAGTGAATTTTACCATTGTAAAAAGAGAGTGAGTTCAAAGTGGGAGACAAAAGCTTTTTCCACGGAAGTCGGATCTAACTTGGTGCCCCATTTTGTCTCTCATGTATCCTCTTTAGTGATCAAATGCACTATGTCACCATGATAATGTTGATTTCAGGCATCCAAAAATTAATTTTACTTATACAAGTCCCTTAACACATTTTTAAGTGGCATGCAAGACTTTGCTAAAATTCTGCATCTGCATGAAAATAATCCCTATTGTTTCAACTGTCTCAAAAGCTCAAGATTTTTTTTTTTCCCCTCTATTTTTGGGGGCTAGATTCACAAAATTTGTTGCTTTCTTTTGAAAAGCACAACCCTATTCTTGCTTAGTCCTTTTCAAATGTTACTTTAAGGGGTAATTAAGATGAGTTATAAATTTAATATTTTAAATTTTAATTTTAATTTCTTGAGGTTAATTTATGAAATATTTATATTTTATGAATGTTTTAGTCTTGATACGAATAATTTGTCTTTAACTAAATTAAATGAAAAAAAAATAATCAAAATATAGGTAAACTTATGTGAACAGTTTTGACTGTTTGGAACAAAAGAAAAAAGGTTCCTTTTCAGATGCAATAGGCTCGAAAAGGTGTTTGGGGTCACCCAACAAACACGGTGGATGCTAAAGAGATAAGGAGGAAGACGTTGGGAATCACCAACTTTTCTATTCCTTGATTTGATAAAAGGGATGTAAGGAAAGAGTCTCTCTTGCGAGTGTCTGACTCGTCAACTTTGATCCTTACAAGTAGGCCACTGTTTACTTCCTGGCAAAGGAATGCTAGCTGGAGCCATGATGAGAGGGTGGTGGTGTAGTTTAGTGTGCTAAGTCATCATTTTCAGGCAATTGTTTATTGGCACCAGGTACAGAAATGGGTTCCTCTTCAGTAAAGCTAGTGTTGGAGGGTTGTACTATGGACCAAAAACTATTTTTTTAATACCATACGTCTCTGGTTTTATCTTTTATCGAAATGTAAAGCATGTAAAAAACTAAAATTGTGTTATTTTATTTTATTATTTTATAAATAATAACTCTAAAATAATTTTCAACACACTATCTTGCGGGTATGTCCACCGTCCTTCTGCTTCTCTTTCTCTCTTTTTAAATTGGGATATAATTTATAAATATAATTTTGAGACATAATGATTATAATTATTAAATTATCAGTGAATTTAAATATTAAATATATTTTATTATCAATTCAATAATTACAATATTCTTAAATTATAATCCTCAATTATATCAGAAAGAATGCCACCCTTCCTTTGTCAAATCAATTTGTTTTGGTGATGCAACTCTGCATGTCCACTGGCCCGGGCACTGAAAGGGAAGAACATGCTGTGGGACCTCTGAAGACTAAGTTTCCTTTTCCTATGTTATTATATTTAGGATAAATTATACTGACATCTCTAATATTTTGATTTATTATACGAATACCCTTCACATTTCACAAATGATACTTGAACCCTTTCACATTTGAAATTCGTTACATCAAGGCCCCTTATTCTTGACAGACGTCAGACATGTTTACGGAATATAATGACATTAGCCAAAAGGTCTATTATAATTTCAATAATGCCCTCATCTGGTGAAAGTCAAACTCTACAAGACATTGTACTTCAAAGTGCTTATTGAAATATCAATTGTACCCCTTCCTTTTACTTCAAAAACCTGTGTTCAAAGTCTTTCTCCTAAACCTTCTCATTCGGCAGGTATGGCTTCCTCTTATTTTTTTTGTCTTCCTCCATATCTCTTTACCTCTGTATCTCTCTGTCCATCTATCTTTTTATGTACAATTATAAATGTATATACGTATCCATGTATAACAACAATATATATGTATTGTCTGTGTTAGGTGTGGATAGGGACTCACTGTTATAACAAGTGTTATCAGAAGGGGTGTTTTTGTTGTTATTCAAAAAGGTAAGGGGTGTGTCTGTCATTGACATAATATGACTTGTTTTTTATTGTATGCAGTAACTATAGACACAAAACATGTCATCTTCTAGTAACAATAGATTTGGAAGTGGAAATGAAGAAGGATTTGGAGGACATGAGATATTGGATTTAAGGTTCGTTGGAACATAGTGTTTTTGTGGGAAGAAAATAGCAATAAGGTTAATGGAAACCGAGAAGCCAACAAAAGATAAATTATATTTAAATTGCGAGAAAGAGGGGTCCAGGTTCTTTGCTTGGTGTCATCTCCAATTGACTATAATGCCTCCATGTGTTGAACATGGTTATGGACTATGACAAATTTCCAACTTAGAAAGTGGTCATAATTCCCAAAACACGCATGCACTTTTGAAGGCCCTCGTTGTTGCGGTGTTAGTTGTGTTTGTAATGCAACTATTTGCTATGGTTATGTCTATGAGCAAGAACTAGAAATTCTAGTGGTGTTACCTAGTCCTATTTATTATGTGTCAGTTATGTTATGTTGTGTTTACCTAGTATGTAGGTGGTGTGAATGTCTTGAATATGCTTTTGGAGTTGTGCTAAAAAATATAAAGAGCTGAAATCAAGATTATAAAATATGTCAATGGAAACAAACCTTTATTCCCATCAAGAGCCATTACAGCCACCAGAACTCCACCAAATTCACCTTTCAGGTGACAACATAAACTCTAATAAAAGGTTTGCAACTTGCCCTAAAACCATTTTTCAGTGCAGCAAAAGAAATGAAGATTCTCTTGAACAATGGGTTATTATTTACATATTTCTTGAAATAATCAAGTTTAATAACACTACCAAGGTTACTCTTCCTTACTTCACTAACATATGATGGTAATATTCCAAAATATTTTTCATGATGACCCTTTATTGCTGCTATAGCCCTCTTTTTAGCCCTATATAACTGACTAGGGTTGGCTTCAATTTCCCACATATCCTGTAATTCATATTGTAAAGTTTCTAGGGTCATCGTTGGGTTATTTTTTGTCTCCTTTCCAAACTTTTTAAATATCCAAGTAAAGTTTGCTACAAGCACCTTCCTACACCTGATACAATTGTGATATTTACTGTAAGTCCTTACTTTAAAAATAGGCTAATCTGGTAGAGGGGATTCATGAATCCTCTACTGGCATCCATCAGCATTGCACTCAACGATAACTCTATTCCTCTTATTTTTCTTGCTTATCACTTTTATCCTTGTCTTTATTATATAATCCCTCAATGCATCTCTAAACAAGTCCACATTCCCAAACAACATCCCCACACAAAAGTCACAATCAGTGCTTAAATCTTCAGGACGCATTGAACTCCACTCCAAATTCTAAAGTATCAGTGACATTGAACTTTCTTTTCCTACTCCTTTTATGTGTTTTACCCACTTTAGCATCAAGTTACTTAGAATCTGTACTATTAACATAACCTTCATCCCCTGATTGATAATCTAAAAACCCATCGTCATTGTTTTCATCTAACTGTATGTTGATGGTATTATCATGACATTCATACCTAACATTAGGGACATCATCACCTTCAACTATCTAGTCCTCATCCTCATAACTAAAACCAGAAACATTGTCATCATTTTCACCACCCCCATCGTGTGTTTATCCCCATTTATATCATCAACTTCATGCCTATTTGCATCATTTTCACCATTAGGTTCATTGTCATCATTTTCATCAGTTTGTCTGACATCATCAATTTCAGTATAGTCTTCAGCTATTCCTACATCTAAAGGAGGTGAGAGTTCTACTTGAGACCCAATTTCAGTATTCACAAATACATGTATCTCCTTACAATTTCTATACAAAGAAAACATTTCCTATAATTGTTTATAGCCATCAAGTACAAGTTTTCCACTACCATCTGGCCTATCAACTGTAACATCAATCATTACCTTCGACACACTATCACCAATAAAAACATTAGGAACTTGTGCAACATCTGTCACCATATCCATACAACAATACCTATCAGAGTTGACCCCATTAATGGTGAATATAGAGTTCTTAAAATGAACAACAATGTCATGATTCTGCTTGTCCATTTCTGCAGAAAAAATGCCAGAAATGTCTCTTACTAGGTAACTAAAAAAAATCCTTTAAATGGCCAAAAAATGACAACATAATGCAAAATTAAAAAGATCAAATCTAAATATGTGTCAAACCTTTGATGGATTAAAGAATCAGATCTAGATCCAAGATGCTTTAAACGAGATGCTTCGTAATGAAGATGAAGAGACAAATCCAGACATCGCTCTTTCTAGGTTAGGTTAAAGGTTCGTTTTACCTAGATCCAAACATCCATAGAGTGGCTTAGGTTTAGGGTTTTTGGAACATATAAAAATGATAAGGGATTAGGGTTAGGGTTACTCTGATTCAAGGATGGTGAAAGTGGTTTAGGGTTTGGGATTTTCTGAATTTGGAGTGGAGTAAGCATGATTTGGGGTGGATTATAAATCGCAAAAGGTTGAATTGGTGCTCTCTCTTCTGTCAAAGACGAGTTGGGTTCTCTCTCATGCCTTCTCTTTTTTGTCAGATGTGACAAATGGTGTTTAGAGTTTACTTCAGTACAAAGATATTTTATAAGGTTATTAAAGTCATTTTGATTTTGAACTGAATTATCAATTTTTTATATTTTTTGTGGTAGCAGAAGTAGGGTAAGATTGTCATTTTGCACTTTTTGTTAGCAATGTTTCATTTGTAATGTAATTAGGGTTCGAGTGTCATTTGTGAAATGTCAAGGGGAGTCCGTGTAATTTACCCTATTATTTATGAAAAATTTAAATTATAATTTTTTAAGGTTAAGTTATAATTTTTTGAGGTGTATATAATTTGCAAATAACATAATCGATCCTAAAACATTGCGATCGATCGCAGAAGTTACAATTTTCAAAATTTAATATACAACTTTTAAATGTCAGTTAGAACTTGTGAAGGAGAAGTACAACTACTCAAGAGAATGATCGATTATGGACTTTTCTCACCTAGTTAGCTTTATTAAGTGTAACCTTACCATTAAAAGTTCGGTGCTGAAATTTTTTGTTAGTGCCATAGTCTTTCCTTATCAACTATAGGGGAAGACTACCTTCCAAAAAAAACTATAGGGGAAGAGAATGTTCCCATGAAACAAGGTCATGAATATATGAACCTCTCTAAACTCGACAACAATGCAAGCCTTGTATTAGATAAACACTTCTTTTATCAGGTTAGAGTAGATAATGTTTAACATATACAGAGCCTAAAAAACTTGAGTTCAAATCATACCAAGTAAAATATTAGATAACATTTATATTTTACATTCTTCTCTTCTCTATCAGTTTAAGCTTTTAGGCGGTGTACAGCGGCAGAGCCACTCAAGGACCAGTGCTAACCCTCAATTTTTTTGCCTTATCATTAAGTATTATATTATTTTAAGTATCTAATTATGCCCACCTATTATTTTTTTTGAAAAATATTATTTGAACCTAATTTGGGGATCTAATCCAATATAGTCATTGAATTAAAAGTGAATTTCTTCTAATCTTAAAACTCTCAACTAATCCAACGATTACATTGAATTAGGTCCATATAGCATTACTTTATTTTCTTATCATATCAATTAGTACATACTCTTACTTCAATGACTAACATTGGAGACACTTCCGACATATTTAGGTTAATTTGTACATATTGAGTTAATTTTAAAATCTTTTGATCAACTTAACCATGTATTATTGATGTGCACTTTAGTATTATGTTTAAAACCTAACAGAAATTTGCGATCTTGCTCACAAAATTTTTAAATAAAAAAATATGTGATATATCATTTAGTGTACATATATGTAATTTTGACATTAGTTTTATTAGTCATTACTCATTAATAATGAAATCATCAGATAGCACTACCAAAGTATGAAAATTTGTTCGGTCAATTGAAACTAACTATAATTAACCTCATTTTTTAATAAAATACTATAATTCATCTCTTTTCTGTTGTACACATATATCCATCGAATTTTTAAGCATCGTTGACGAAGTAAGTAGTACAAATGTGTCATCTTGCTTTATCAATTAAGATAAAACGTATTAGAGTGTCCACCCTAAAATATTTTTTTGGCTCTGCCACTGACTCTGCAAGTTACTCCTCCTAAGCATAGTAACTGTAAATTTTGTATCATTTGCCCATGTAATAGAATGGGTTACTGCTATAATATCACTATCACAATGAGGTGCAACCGAATTTCTATCAAGTCTGAAAGAATAGCAAAATACCAAGAGTCAAAAGTTAACCTCCTAATCTGTTGATTACAAGAGTCATAGATGACCAACAATTGCCAGACCCAATTTAGATCAAATCAAATTTAATTGGGTGTAGGCAGAAAATTATTCAAATTCAACAATATGCTAAACTCTAATCTCCTGATTATTATATTTGAATGAACTTATGTAATACTCCTACACTTTGTATATGTTCTCCATGGATTACAATGTCATTTAATTTCATCAAACATTATACTAAATAACTATTCTTATCAAAATTTGAAGTGAATCATTATGTTAGATTATCAGTTCACTATATTACTCGTGTTTGAACTTGAAATATAAAATTATAAAAATATTCGATACATGGGTTGTTTGTGAAGTCATTAAAAAAATTGCCACGTGTTAAAATCTGAAGAAAAGACGAGAAATGATCATTCACAACTTTGTTTAAAAGAAGGAATAACTGCTTGAGAGTTGCAAGTTAATTAACCGTCAATGAAGGGAAAAACCGTTGAAGGTAGTAGTTAAAAAAGGAGGAAAAAATGAAGTTAAAGAACCACTCAAACCCCCCACAGAGCATTTAGAAGTAGAGGTAAAGTTAGTTTTAGGAAGTAGTTAGTGTTGTAATCAAAGGCTGTTAATTCAATCTCTCTGTAACTGAAACTCATTTGATTGAATTAATAAAGTGATTTGTTTTTATTAGTTCATCATTCTATATGTTCATTGCCATTGAATTTCAGCTAAGGAAGTCCTAAAATAAGGTAATTGAACCCATCCACAAGCAATGGCCTGAGAATTGTTTGTCAATTGAGGCACTCTTTCAATCGCAACAAATTTTGGAGCAACAATCTTTGGCATGCCTAGTGCGACAACATCTTTAACTTGGATCAAGGAAGATGGTGCGAACGAGGAAGCAAAATGAGATTATGTTTGAGACCAACGAAACTCTAAAAATGATGCCAGTTAAAAAAAGAAATGACGTCAGTTGATTGCAATCACGAAGCAAGTTCAAGTACCCATCCTATGGAGTCTGTAAATCCACTGAATGACCAACCCAATGGCAGGATAGTGTGCAATTGCAAGAGTCTGTGCAAAAATTTAAATAGGTATTGTACAATCCCAATTCTAGCATTAGGCAAGAATTAGTTAATGGCATGCATGAATGATTGAATGTCCCAGTACCACTGTTAGGACTATTCAATCAGAAATCAAACATTGTGACTAGAAATACCGGTCTTGTGGTATTCCCTATAGAAAATCAAAGGCCATCATCGATGGTTGCTAATAAAAGACCAAGTATCCCACACCAAAACCATTTTAACATGATGTTCGATGGAGAATCCGCAGAAGTCTTTCCAAACTTTTTCCCAAGAAGAAACCCTAAGGGGAGAAGTGGACCAAGTATGGTCCCCGAAATTCGGAGAGGTCGTGAGAGGTTTGTCATGCCTTCATTAGAACCCATAGATGAGTTCAATCGAAGAACAGGGGGCAACCCTTTGATTAAGACAAACACATCAATGGCCACCAGAACATGGTTTTCAACAAAAACCAATTGGAGGAGATGATTCAAGACCTATATGGCCCTAGCTTAAGAAAAACTGAGAGGCTTGTATTCAGAAAATCATACCTTCCATGGGTTAATTATGAAGAATTCCCAAGGGGTTATAAAATTTCAGAATTTCATCTCTTCTTTGGCGAAGAGAACCAATCCATAATAGAACATGTAGGATAGTTCATTTTCCAATGTGGAGAAGTTGGACTAAATAGAAATTTAAAAATGAAATTGTTCCTACAATCACTCACAAGAACCGCTTTTGCTTGTTTCATCAATTTGCTTGCTAATTCAATTCAAACATGGTAAGAGATGGAAGAGCAATTTCATGCTCAGTTCTTTATGAATGAGGCAGAGGTCTTAATGGCAGATTTGTCTAGATTAAGACACAAATCAAATGAATCTGCAGAACAATATATCGACAGGTTCAAAAAGGCTAGAAATAAGTGTCATGTTTACTTGCCTGAAGTGGGACTAATAAAGTTGGCTAAAATGGATTAGAATTCGAATTAAGAAATTGAAGGAAATGGAATTCAGGGATCTATTTGACCTCTCATCTAGGGCTACTAAATATGAAATGTTGCTTAGAGAGGATCAACAGAGAAAAATAGTTCATTTGGAACTTATTTCCAAGACTTCGATGGAAAAGTTGAAATAGATGTGGCACAGATCATAGGGAAATCACCAATCATGTGTGATACCATGAAAAAGATTGAAGACCCTGTCAACTTGCCATTTAATCATCCCTTTAAAAAAGATGCACCCCAAACCTCTAGGTAGTATTTATTTGACCTATCGATGACTAATGCTCTCTTTGATGAAATGATCAACGAAAAGTTCATAGTCTTGTCTTTGGAACATAATGTTCCACCATAAAAACACAGGAAAGGAAAAGAATACTATAAATGACAGCTCATTTAGGTACTCAAGTAAAAATTGCATTACTTTTAGTAATCGAGTGCAAAACTTAATACAAAAGGGGATGCTTAAATCTACCATAAAATAGGAAGAAACCATGAAAGTAGACAAATATTATTTTCCAAAGGAAGGAAATGCTAATATGGTTTCTATTAATATGCACGAAAACAAGAAGGCTGCCAATTTTTTTGGCTGGCAACGAGAGGATTGTTCCATGATTTTTGTTAATATGCACAAAAATAAGAAGGCTGATAATTTTGTGACTAGCAAAAAGAGGATTATTCCCAAGATGAGGATTCCAGTCCACAGCAGGCTTGGCCCCAAAGAGGAATA